TAGATATTTCTTATCATTTATTGATTTCTTTGGTTTTTGGTAACGAATGCCAAACACTTGTCTTGTGTTTGGATTTTAAGTTAATTTTAGAAATTAAAGGAATTAATGAAAAGTAATGAAAATATAACATAAAAATTGGAAAAATATTTATTATAAGTAATTAAGAAAACAATTGATAAACACTTTGATATAATATTAGACATAAAACCATTTGTTTTCACACTATTTGTAACAGCGATTGAATACCTATCGAAACAATGAGTGTTTTAACAGTGAATTTAATAGCATTTATTGGTTTTTAATTGAATTATTTAATGACAACTCATTTTGTTTGAGAAAAATCTGTTTTTTATTATTATCGGTGAATATAAATGGATAAGAGATGTGTTGATAACACTGTATCTCTTGTCGAGAGACAAATGTCTTATATATTGAAATTAATGTTCAATTCTTGTCATAAATTTTTAAAATAAGAAATTAAATTAAATTTAAAAGTAATCCATAAATATAACGAACAAAAACACCATATAATCAGTGATTAATCGATTGTTGTTTTGATTTTATATTTGTTTTTAAAATTTTTGGTTTTGTAAGTCATTTATAAAATAGAAGTAAAACAATAATAGGAATCGGTTTTTGAGTCAATTAGAGAAATGGTTTTTTGCTATTGTATTGAATGAACGAAAACACTAAACATTACAAAACACTTTTGATAAAAATCAAAGAACTCTAGAGAATATTCCGTACAGAATATTCTGGTGTAAAACAAAGCCCTAAACGACATGACATTTGTAACTATATTAAAACGAGTGAACACTTTATATACATATAAATTACACACCGAATAAAATGCAAAACCATTTTTGTATATTAACTCGTGTTTTGAATTACATTATAATTACTTTATATATAAAAAATGAATAAATAAATATAGAAATTTAATTATTATTATTATTATAATTAAACGGTAAACAGATTTATATACTATTATTATTACAAAAGAAATACAATTTTTATTATTATTATAATTTTGTCACAATTTTATTATTTAAAAAGTAATTTAACAATTTATTATAAATATAATTTTCACAACAAATCAAAAATCATTTTATTATTATTTTTTAATTAAACAAATTCTTGTATTATAATCAGTAAATGAAAAGTAATAAAAAGAATTGAAATTAATAAAAACTAAATTCTAATTAATATATTAATCTTATAAAAGTTGGGGTTTAATTAACCGGATTAATGAAGCATAGGATGAGTATAATTGTATTTGTGAGCAAATTAATAAAAATAACATTTATCTAGATTTAGCCCAAGTATCGGATGGGATAACAAAGGGGCTGACAATTAGACATTGAGATGAAGTTCTTTAGCGACGGCTTTTGCCGACATATCCATGAGTTGATGTGCGTTGGCTTTGAACGTATCGACGGCCAGCTGTCGGGTCTCATCCCACGCGTACAGAGCCCTTAAATACCAGATAATTAATTCAACAGTTGTTTTAATTGCAATTAAATAAATACATACTTATAGATAGGTTTTACAAATTTCATGCGTCCCTGAGATGTGATGAACTGAACGGCGTCTGCGGTGTAGGCCTTGCAGTGAGCGGCCAAAGAGAGCCGTAACCACAGGCAACGGATCTCTGAGTTGTGATTGTCCTGAAGGCCGTACGTCCGAGTGATGGCCTCGACTTTGGCGGCGCTAATCTTGCCCTCCGGTGCGGCCAACAAGTTGTTCAAGAACTCGACCCTTTGCCACGCGTCCATCGCTGAGATATCGTTGGCCCGGAATTGCGACCAATCCGTGTCCGCAGCCGCTATCCATCGATTCGCTAATTCTATGCACTCTTTGGCCAGCGTTTGGTCGTAATCGGGGATAATGTGAGGCATTCCCGTACCGTTGATCCAAAGACCCCAATCTATTCGACTCAACGCCTCCTTATTGTCGCTGAAGTAGTTCTGCAGAAACGACCGAAAGTCGTTGGTTTCGATCACTTTGTACTTAAAATTATCGATATATGTGCGGAGGAAGGGCTCAAACACTTCGGGTCCGCCCAGAAGTTGTTCCAAATAGAAGAGAAATGTGTGGCCCTTATAGTAGGGAACGGTGGAGAAGGCGTCGTCCGGATCCACTCCGCGGTGATCGATGAGTAGTTTCGTGAACGGACTGTCCCGACCCAAGTTGTCGATGTCGTTCTTCAGCGACTTCAGGCCTTCGAATGCCCGGAACTGACGGTTCGGTTCGCCACCACTCAGACGGCCGACGATCTTATTCTCCAAGAATGTGGTGAAGCCTTCGTTGAGCCAAAAGTGGCCCCAATTCTTGTTTGTCACCAGATTTCCGGTCCAACTGTGAGCGATCTCGTGGGCCACCACTGACTCCAGAGACCGATCGCCGGCCAATAGTGTTGGCGTCACGAATGTAAGGCACGGGTTCTCCATTCCTCCGAAGGGGAACGACGGCGGAAGCACTAGAAGATCGTAAACACCCCACACATAGGGACCGACTATCGACTCAGCGGTGGCCAACATTTTCTCGGTGTTTGCGAACTCATAGGCGCACCGATCGATGAGCGCCGGCTCTGACCACACGTGACTTCGCGGTCCGATCTCTTTGGAGACCAGATCTCCGACAGCAATGGCTATTAGATAACTGGGAATCGCTATCTTCTGTTTGAACCGATACTCTTTGGTCGCGCTGTTGTCTGACTGGTGAACAGCGCCGGTGCCGTCGCGTACGGCACTCATGAGTACCACGAGATCTTTGGGCGCAACGATCTGTCGGTTCAATAAATCAAATGAAATGTTTTAACACACGTTTTGATGTTAATAATGGTTATCAATGACTAACCGCCGCATCATATGTTTGCTTAACAGCCGGTGTGTCCTGTATTGGGAGTATAGATCGGCAATGGATTGCCTGGCATTGGCTCAACAGATAGGGGTGTCGTTTGCCGGCCGTCTGTTCCGGTTTAAGCCACTGAAGAGCAGTCGCTTTACTACTCGTCCGGTAAGCGATGCGAACCGTCGAGCGGACACTCGCCGGCAATTTGACCGTTAGTTTGGCGCCAAACACAGCAACTGATGGACTGAGCGTATAGTTGAGGGGTTGACCGGTCTGTGCGTCCGTCACTCCGTCGATGGATAGGCCGGATGTGTCGAGCAGTATCTCATCGACGGTTTCGGTCTGTTTCTGGACCGTGAGGTCAACGGTTGCGCCGATTGTCTGCTTCTCGAAGTTGACGAACGCTTTCCATAGGATGTGATCGACTCGACTCAGGTCTGGCCGCGCGAAGGAGTTCGGGTCCACCGGGTTTTGCCGCAACTCATCCAATAGGGCTTCGGTAGCGCTTGTGTTGGCCATTGTGTCCGATCGTGTCGTGGGGTTTGATCTGAAGAACAGGAAGAATAGGCTAATGAGGAGGACTGCGATCGACGACAATATATAACTGATTGTCATTTAAATGAATGCTTTTATTGTAAAAGTATTTATGATTTAATGACACTTCAAATATGGGAACAGTTTTTTGTTATCACGAGTAATAAAGTGGTAAATTTGATACCACTTTACGATTAGATTGGATGTAATAAATGAGATGTCATTCAATGGGTTTGTAATTAATTGATTAGTAAATAGTTTTAATTGAATTACAAATTGTAATACAAATTGAGGTACAGATGAGAGTCAATGCTTACGAGTGTTTGAAGTGTTTGTTGTGTTTGTATTGACTGAATGGTGTGTTTGTTATGAAAACAACACGTGTTTTACTATAGAGACAGCGGTTTAGCGTTGAATACGGTCTCAAACTTATGGCTAAATATTTGCTAAAACTTGTGATTTTATTCATTAAATAATAGGTTTGTGTCTCACTATCACTGAAACAGATCCACAGCGCATACCATGTGATGATTAGCGACACTTTTTATGCTTAATAATCGCAATGATATAACTGTTTATACATTGTGTACGAGATATACATGACGTGAAAATAATGTATAAATATTGCATTGAATGACAAGTTGTTGTGAAGATTGATGTGAAATGAGTTTCACTTTTTATTTATAACTTTTTATGTAATATTTATTATATTAATTAAATTAAGACGAATTTAATTGTAAATTGAGACCATAGTCAATCTTAGGCTTATTTATTGAGTGTCAAAGTATATCTCATGAAAATGTGTTACAATTAATGGCAATAATGTGTGAATTATTCAATAAAACAAGTGATTGAAAGTTAAGGCAAATTCATAATGAATTAAACATTTAGTTAAAAACTATAAAAACAATCATTGAATTTAAATATCGGACACTTAAATAGACTTAAACAATAACACAATTTGTGTAAATTAGTGGCACTAATGTGTCCCTCGAGTGCGGCCAACAAAACACTGACTTATCGTTGGCCCCCAATAGCGACCAATCCGTGTCCTCAGCCGCTACCCATTGATTGGCTAATTCTATATACTATTTGGTCGTAATTGGGAATAATGTGAAGCCATTGCCATACCGTTCATTCGTGTCATGCATTCCTCCAAATGGGAAGCACTAGAAGATCGTAAACACCCCACACATAGGGACCGACTATCGACTCAGCGGTGGCCAACATTTTCTCGGTGTTTGCGAACTCATAGGCGCACCGATCGATGAGCGCCGGCTCTGACCACACGTGACTTCGCGGTCCGATCTCTTTGGAGACCAGATCTCCGACAGCGATGGCTATTAGATAACTGGGAATCGCTATCTTCTGTTTGACCCGATACTCTTTGGTCATTTACCTAAACATTGATCATGTTCATTTTGTTTATAATTTTAAAATAATTTTGCGCTATTAGTCAATAAAATCATAAATAAATTGTTTATTATACGCTGAGCTTAACATTTGTAATGCATTTCTTAAACAAATGGTAACAGTTTTTAGGGATAGACATGGGTTTAATATTTTTAAATATGAGATTAAATTGTTATTAAAAATATGTGTAAAATAAAAATATAAAAATCACATTAATTATTAACGTGTGATAGATATTTAATGGCACTTTAGGTCATAATATAAGAATAAAAGCTCTAATTAGTGTTACAACAATCTATGCGACCCTTTCAGGCATTTGTCTTATAATAAGTTATGAATAGTTATAAAAGTGGAGATCACTCGGAGTCGTCATTCTCAACGATTCCTGGATTGAAATAAAACAATTTCTTCCATCCTCTGTACGAATGCTCCATCAATTGATTCGCCGATTTGTTCAGCAATTGTGAAGTGTGTGTGAGAATGGTATGTAATTCCGAAGAATGTGAATATTTGATAAGTGATTGGCAGAGAGCTGTCCCAAACATAGAGCCCGTCTCCATATCACACCACGAGACGCCCCGCTTAATAGTCGAGTAACAGATCATCATATCTTCATTGGGAGGCGCGTATGACTTATCCAAATTGTCGCTACCGCTCACATCGTCCTCCAATTGTTTTAAAGCGAGTTTTGGCACATCTATAAGTTGTGTAACAATTGACACATTAAATGCAAAAATTAATATTTCACTCAATACTAACCTTCTCGACAACAGTTAAAGAAGAATAGTTTGGGTTTATGTCTGAGTCGACGGCAGTTCCAATTATTAAAATTATCGATTATCCGATTGAACGGAAGTGAGAGGCCGTCGGAGGCGATCACGTCTTCATTTCGTCCGTGAGATATAACCATAAGAATGAAAGCGTCGTGTTTTGAGAGCTCAGACCGATTCGCAAAGTCCTTAAGAGTGGCCGACATTTCACTCGCCGTCTGACCATATGTTTTGACGACAATAAAATGCAATTGAGTGAACATTTCGGCGATGCGGTCCGTTTCGAATGCAGTGCCCATACGTTCTTCATTATTAACTAAATTCAATATTAAACAATAACCGCGTTGGTTGGCGCGCATCGGGTATATATTGTCGCCGGTCATCTCAATCACGCATTTCTTAACGTTAATCATATCCTCATTTGGTGGACATTTAATTGTTTGGCCAAACTGTGACTTCTTTTCGGCCTTTAATTGAAGCGATGATAACTCTTGGGATCCGTTAACAGTAACATCGGTTGCGCTCTCACATGCGTTGTTACTGATTTGTTTTGGTGTCGGTTCTGGTGGTGAATCGTTTGAATTGATTTGTTCAAGAATTTGTCTTAAATTGAATGAACGCAAATCCTTAGTCAGCAGGTCTTTTTCGACCCACGAGTCATATTTGGCCACATTTTTTGACTCCAATTTTAATTGAATTAGTTTGGCGTTTAACTTTTCATTTAAATCTAAATGTGATTAAAATATAAAATTATATCAAAATAAAAGTATATTTATATACGCAGAAAATATTACCATTTATTGAAAATTTATTTACAGCAGATTTGATTTGATAGTTATCATGATTAGGCCGTTGTGTCAATTGTGTCCCAAAAGCACCCGAAACTATAGACGACAACACGTCGAAAGCTGTGATGCAATAATTGATATGAATGTTTTGCGCTGTTGTCGGAATATTCTGCTCTAATTGTGGCGTAGAATTGAGCACTGGATTCGCTGAGTTGGCAGCACTCTGATTGGACGGTTCGTCGGAAATGACTATGTCTATCATATCGGGGTTTTCCTTCATGTACAATAGAAGCTTTGCCAAAGCTAATTTGCTTTTCTTCATAAGCTTATTTAAGGTAGTGCTGGGGTAACTGATATGAATGTTTTGCGTTGTGTTCGGTATATTCTGCTCTAATTGTGGTGTAGAATTGAGCAGGGGATTCGCTGAGTTGGCTGTGCTCTGATTGGGCGGTTCGTCAGAAATGATTATGTCTATCATATCGGGGTTTTCTTTCACGTACAATAGAAGCTTTGCCAGAGCTAATTTCCTTTTTTTCATAAGCTTATTTAAGTTATTGCTGGCGTGACGAACAGGCGTTGAATTTATGTCTATAGCGCTGCGCGTGTCGATCATGTCGAATTGTCGATTGCATGTTGGACATTTTCCACTTAAATTGTTAGTTAGAGTTATTGGGTAATTTTGAATGGAATTAGTGAAAGTATGATTTGGTAAAATTAAATTGGTCTGGGCTGAATCGCCCGTTAATTGGTTCATGTAATGTGTAGTTGTGATTGCATTCGAATCGATGGCCATTGTTTCAATCGAATCACGAGATGACGTGATGGTCGAAGAGGGTGTGGATTTAGTGGCACCGGAATTACTAAAATTTGTCATACCATTGCGTAGACATAGGTCCAGTCGACGGCGGACGTCTCGAACGTGCGATTCTGTAGTAGAGTTAGGTTTACGTTTGTTTGCCTGGGCACAATCAATCGTTATCTTAACAAAAATAAATTTAATTGTATTTACTAAATTCACAACATTATAAATATGACTAGTAATAAATACATTGGCAATCGGATCGCTCGTGTCGTTTGTTATATCCATTATATAGCTTTGCGATGAAGTGGTGGTCGAAAAGGGTGTGGAGTGAGTGGCACCGGATTTGCTTGTCTTTGTCATACCATTCTCTGAGCATAGTTCCAGTCGACACGCAGAACAACTGTCCCGATGTTGAAAATGTTTACGATTCTTATCATTGCTAGGGTTTAGACGACATGATATGTGATTTGGTTTATGTTTGGGCCATTTCTATGATCATCGTATATTATATTAATATAATTATTATTATTATACGAATATTAAATTCGCAGAATATATACCTCAACACCTGATATTTTATCCACTTTTGGGTTACTTCTAAATAGTTGCCGACACGAATCGCAAACTGGTTTAATAGCATCATAATATTTGCGCAATAGTGCTAATAATATCCAACAGTAATAATATAGTTTAATCGAATTGATTATTGAAAATATGTTTAAATGTTTGTTATGGGACGCGTTATCTGACTAAAATAATGTATGCAATTTATATTAAAAACAAAATATTACACACTATACAATTAAATTATAATTTAATTAAAACAGAATAACGAGAGAAGTTTACGGCGCACAAAGAAATACGGATATTTATTAAAAATTGATATCACAATTCAGCTATGAATAATGTGGTTTATAGAATGTCGACGCTATCCATTCCCTCCCCCAATAAGATAATTTTATAAAATTAAACAACATTGACGCGATGCTATGCGTTAACTAAAATTCGGGAAATGCATTATAGATTTTAAATTTTTAATCACAATTCAGTTATGAATAATGTGGTTTATAGAATCGATCGGCCCTCTCTCCCACACTTCATGAGATTTAACATTTGATCCCAGCTTAACTTTATGACTATACTTTAACATAGGATTCTTAAGTATATGAGGAATTAACATAAAATTAGAGCTTAAGTCTATGGTTATGGAGGGGGCCGAACGATCCTATAAACCACATTATTCCTATCAGAATAGAGGTTAAAAATTTTAAACAATTATCACACAGCAATGCTATACTTTAACAACAATTCGGGAAATGCATCAAAAGATTTGAAATTTTTCAATACGATTGTTGGAATACTTTCATTATTATAATTTTGAGAATTTTGAATGTTTTTTACAAGAACGAGTACACCTTAGCCAGTATACTATAAACGCATTTTACTCAATCGTTACGTACATTATAAAGAGGTTTACTTGTAAATAACAAGGATCACACAGCGATGCTATACGTTAACCACTATTCGGGTGATGCTCAAAGAATAGATTAGCATTTTCTACACATTCAACAAGAGTCCATAGGATTAGCACTTCCCATAGACTTAACATTGTTTATAGACTTAACATTAGTCTATAGGATTAGCATTAGTCTCATTAAGTTAGCATTATCCATGTTATTCCTATGCCATAGACTTAGCATTACCCATGTTATTCTTATGCCATAGACTTAAGCTCTAATTTTATGTTAATTCCTCATATACTTAAGAATCCTATGTTAAAGTATA